GTAGAAATAGATATTTATTGCTGTGGTTGTGACCCCGTGAAGCACAGTTCATTCGAACATTCATCATTTGAACACCCTCATTAATGATATACAGTTCATATTGACTTATATATAGCCTATATATAGCATATATATATATATATATGTAACCAGGTCAAAAGTTATCAAACCAATTACTGTACTGGTTAACTAATGCTCTAGGATAAGGGAAGTTACACCACAGACTGTTCCAGGGTTTTCTCATTAATTGATAGAATAGTACGCTAGCCCTTTAAGAAACGCGATGTGTGACATTCTGGAAGAATCGCGAGATTCTGCTGTGTACAGCGCGTGGTCACAACGTGATTTGAAGTGCGGCTCATGCGGTGGAGTGCTGAGGCCATTAGACGCCGATGTTACTGTTAAAATAACAAAAAAAGCACATATAGTAACTTGGAAGTCTCTCTTAGTGTGTTGTGAGGATTGTGTGTTGTGCTGAGGGAACTTTGAAATTCTGTCGACTCGAGATGCATACCTATGTGGAGAAATCCGATCGACAATAAATCTCGAAGCGTGAGTGATTAATCATAACTAATGTCAGTTTATTATTGAGAATATTTTGTTGTGTATGATGTAATCTGAACATTAAGTGATTGGTGATCATTTTGGTTGATTAAAGAGGGGAGAGGAGTATTCTTAAGGCCTCCTGAGTGTTTCCAGGCCGAGTGTGAAGCAACAGAGTGAGTGTTGTTAATTAATTAATCGTAAAAAAAGTGTTTGCTGCTTATACGTGTGTTTATGGCAATCTGTTGATTGTTAAATAAGTGTTATACTGTGTTTATTGCTGTTTCAGAAGGAGAATTGAGTTCAGCATTCAATGTGACAGTGTGTACATGCTATAAAGTGTGTTGATGAACAGTAAGTTTAATTTGATTATTATAATAAGAGTCATTTGATTATTTCTTTGTGGAATATTAGAATGTATTAATGTTACTGGGAAATGTAACTTCATTTTTACATTTTTCATGCATCTTTTATGTAAGATAAGCAGCTTTATTTGGTATTCTGTGTTGACAAATCTTGTAACAATCTGTGTATGTGTTTTTCAGAATACGAGTCCACTATCGTTGTCTATGTTAATTAGATTCCAGTAGTTTATTTGTTAATGTGGTGACTGAGAACAGAAAGACAAGAGAGACTAGAGTTGATAACAAAATATCTTTATTGATTCCAACCAATGTAACAAGCTTTCCTGTCTAGTATCACATATTTGCATAGTTAACGCTGCGCTGTTTCAAGTGCAGTCTGGAATAAACGATCCCACAGATAATTTAAATCCCTGTGTCTAGTGTTGTCACTAATATTCACACCGGGCCACAGAGAATTTTGGTACCAGGAGTGGGGTTCCATTGCTAGTGTAGATAGGATAGCACTAAAACATAGACAACGGTAGTGGGAGAAACTGGTCGTGTGCTGACGCCTGGGAGTTCGACGGTGTGGAGTGTGACGTGCCTGGAGGGTCTGCGGAGAAGCAAGGGACCAGCTTTGGGAACGCAGACGGGTGCCTAATCGTCGACAACGAATTGGCCTTTCAGGTTGGCTGGCATTGACTGTGACTGTTTCTGACTCAGAGCCATTAGAAATAGGGACATTGCAAGAGCATGGACCAGGACGACGATGTGCCAGCTGCTCGGGCTGGAGCCAGCCGGGACGTGGACCATGCTGGGGCTGCGGGTCATGAGGATGAGGGTAATCCTGTAGCAGAACTGAAGTCACAAATTCTGGAGTTAGGTCGAAGACACGACCAAGTAATGTCAACCCTGGCTAATATGAATAATGCTACTAGGTCGTATGTTTATATTCCAAGGGAACGTCAAATTGTGCCATTCAGTGGTGATCATGTTAAAGATGGTCAATCTGTAGATGAGTTCATTGACGAGGTTGAACGTGTAATTCGGGTAAGGGGGTTGAATACTGATGACCAGTTGGATTTCATACTTTCCCATTTAAGAGGTTCAGCCTTAGATGAAGTCAAACTGTGTATGGGGGGGAGACCAAACAACCCAGTGATCTGTTTTCATATTTGAGGGGGGCCTTTAGGGAGAAACGCACTACCCCACAGTTGTTGCATGCTTTCTATGCACGTAGACAGCTAGAGGGGGAAGACATCCGTGACTTTTCTCATGCTCTCTCCCAACTTCTTAACTTTGCTCTCCAGCAGTCTAATAATGCTGTGTCTGACCCCCAACTCGCATTAAGAGATCAGTTTATCGAAGGCATAAGAGATGCAACCCTACGTAGAGAGCTGCGCAAGCTTGTCAGAGAAAAGCCTCAGTCTACCCTATTTAACGTCCGGGAGTGGCCAGTCCCGGGCACTCTCAAGGAACTCCGATCGTTCTTGGGGTTTTGTAGCTATTACCGGAGATTCATCGAGGGGTTCTCCCAGATAGCTGGACCGTTGCACGATGTGGTGAACTTGTGCCTTAAAGAGACCAGCCACGCCAAGGCAGTTCAGCGGTATAAGAGCATCTGGACTCCTCAGTGTCAAGCGGCATTTGAGCACCTTAAGGACCGACTTACCAGGGCACCCACACTTGGTTATGCTGATTTCACGCTTCCCTTTGTGATTGAGACAGATGCGAGCAACCTGGGGTTGGGAGCGGTCTTGCATCAGCAACAAAACGGCAAGAAGGTTGTAGTGGCTTATGCCAGTAGGAGATTAAGAGGGGCTGAGAAAAATGATCGGAACTACAGCAGCATGAAGCTGGAACTATTAGCATTAAAGTGGGCAGTCACTGAAAAGTTCAGAAGTTATCTGCTGGGGTCCAAATTCACCATCATAACAGACAACAATCCCCTCTGCCACCTCACAACTGCCAAGTTAGGGGCCTGCGAACAACGTTGGGTTGCCCAGCTCGCTGTGTTCGATTTTGAAGTCAAGTACCGCCCTGGACGGTGTAACACTGCGGCTGATGCTCTTTCGAGGAGACCAGGATTAGATGAACCAGACTCTGCAAGCGAAGACGCCGAATTTGATGGTTCCGTGGCAATCTGTAACTCGCTCAGGACAGGAACAGCTCTGGGACCAGACCTGTTGGCAGCAGGAGTTGAGTGCAGCAAAGTCAGGCAGTTACAGGTAACCACAGCAGGAGAAGAGGATATTGAGTGTGAGAATACCCCCACTCTGCCGGGTATTCAGAGTCAGAACTTCGTCAGTTCCAGGAGTCTGATCCAGCACTAAGTGTGTTCAAGAAGTTCTGGAGCAGGCAAAGGAAACCTACCAAGCAAGAGAGGATGGGTCTGGCCACAGCTGTACGATCCTGTTGAAGCAGTGGCCAAAGATAAGAGAAAAGGATGGTCTGTTATACCGTGTAATAAATGATGTCCATGTTGGAGAATGTCATCAGCTGTTGTTACCCACCTGTTTGATAGATCAAGTCTTAAAGTGTGTCCACGATCAGATGGGTCATCAGGGTATAGAGAGGACCTTAGGCCTGCTGAGACAGAGATGTTTCTGGGGAGGAATGTATGAGGATGTGGAACAGTGGGTAAAGCGATGTCAACGCTGCGTATTAGCAAAGATGCCGCAACCAAAAGTCAAGGCACCCTGGGTTTCATTCTTGGCCACACGTCCCTTGGAGGTTGTAGCAGTGGACTTCACCATTCTTGAACCAGCCACGGATGGGCGAGAAAATGTTCTTGTAGTGACAGATGTGTTCACAAAGTTCAGTCAAGCATTTCCCACCCGTGATCAGAAGGCGGAGACCACTGCCAAGATTCTCCTCAGGGAGTGGTTCCTGAAATATGGAGTGCCGCAACGCTTGCACTCTGATCAGGGCCGGAATTTTGAGAGTGCTGTGATTGCGGAACTCTGCAAGTTATATGGAGTCAAGAAAACGCGCACGACCCCGCATCACCCCCAGGGAAATCCTCAATGTGAGAGGTTCAATAGAACCCTTCATGATCTCTTGAAGTCCCTTCCACCCGAAAGGAAGCGCAGGTGGCCTGAACACTTGTCAGAGCTGGTCTATGCATATAATGTGACACCACACTCATCCACAGGATACTCACCATACTATCTGTTGTTTGGGATCCAGCCACATCTGCCAGTTGATGCACTGTTGGGCCAGGAGCCTGTAACCGATGACAAACATGATTGGTTAAAAGTACACCAGGAACGCCTCCGAGATGCCCATGTTCGAGCAAAGGAATATGCGGAAAGGAAGGCTGTGGAACGAGCTGCGCGGCATGAGGAGAAGGTGTTTTGCCCTGATGTAGAGATTGGACAACATGTGTACCTACGACACCGGCCACTAGGAAGAAACAAGATTCAGGACGCGTGGTCTTCAACAATGTACAAGGTGTTAGAGGTTCAAGGAACGACGTACACCGTGGAGCCTGTTGAAGGAGGTACATTGAAGAGGGTGCACAGATCTAATCTCAGACCCTGCAATGGTCCAGCCCCAGTGACCGTGCCAAAGCGTCGGCAAACTTCTGTGGAGGAGGTACCTACCCCGGATCCTGAGTCAGAGATGACCTCCTTGGAGGCTGAGTGTGTTCTAGTGGAGGAAGTTCCGTGTTTCAAGGAGAAACTGGCAGTAGTACCAACATCTGAGCATCAAGAACAGCCAGTTCCTGGAGACAGAGACAGTTTCAAAGATCAGATGGAGGAATCTGATAGGAGGGGTTATTGCTCGAAACCAGAGTGCAACGAGACCCTTGATGATACCCTGGGAGTGCCGCCAGTATTTCTGGAGCCAGAAACAGAAATTGTTCACTTACCTGCTGAGAATCCAGTGATAAAACCGGTGCCCACACCTAGAAAGAGAAAGGAAGAGGGTGTTAAGCCAGAAGTGCCTTGCCCTGCTGTGCGTAAAACACAGAGAACAAATGCAGGAGTACATAGTAACCCAAACCATTTACCCAAGTCGACATGCAATGCAGTGTCTTTTAGTCCGGATGTGCTCTCCCAAGTGCTAGCTGGAATGGTCCTCTATACCACAGGGAAGCTTCAAGGGGGCAAGATGATTAGGGTTAGTAGTCACCGGGGACGTCGACTATCAGCAGGGGAGAGTGTAACCAGGTCAAAAGTTATCAAACCAATTACTGTACTGGTTAACTAATGCTCTAGGATAAGGGAAGTTACACCACAGACTGTTCCAGGGTTTTCTCATTAATTGATAGAATAGTACGCTAGCCCTTTAAGAAACGCGATGTGTGACATTCTGGAAGAATCGCGAGATTCTGCTGTGTACAGCGCGTGGTCACAACGTGATTTGAAGTGCGGCTCATGCGGTGGAGTGCTGAGGCCATTAGACGCCGATGTTACTGTTTAAAAAAAAAAAAGCACATATAGTAACTTGGAAGTCTCTCTTAGTGTGTTGTGAGGATTGTGTGTTGTGCTGAGGGAACTTTGAAATTCTGTCGACTCGAGATGCATACCTATGTGGAGAAATCCGATCGACAATAAATCTCGAAGCGTGAGTGATTAATCATAACTAATGTCAGTTTATTATTGAGAATATTTTGTTGTGTATGATGTAATCTGAACATTAAGTGATTGGTGATCATTTTGGTTGATTAAAGAGGGGAGAGGAGTATTCTTAAGGCCTCCTGAGTGTTTCCAGGCCGAGTGTGAAGCAACAGAGTGAGTGTTGTTAATTAATTAATCGTAAAAAAAGTGTTTGCTGCTTATACGTGTGTTTATGGCAATCTGTTGATTGTTAAATAAGTGTTATACTGTGTTTATTGCTGTTTCAGAAGGAGAATTGAGTTCAGCATTCAATGTGACAGTGTGTACATGCTATAAAGTGTGTTGATGAACAGTAAGTTTAATTTGATTATTATAATAAGAGTCATTTGATTATTTCTTTGTGGAATATTAGAATGTATTAATGTTACTGGGAAATGTAACTTCATTTTTACATTTTTCATGCATCTTTTATGTAAGATAAGCAGCTTTATTTGGTATTCTGTGTTGACAAATCTTGTAACAATCTGTGTATGTGTTTTTCAGAATACGAGTCCACTATCGTTGTCTATGTAATTAGATTCCAGTAGTTTATTTTGTTAATGTGGTGACTGAGAACAGAAAGACAAGAGAGACTAGAGTTGATAACAAAATATCTTTATTGATTCCAACCAATGTAACAAGCTTTCCTGTCTAGTATCACATATTTGCATAGTTAACGCTGCGCTGTTTCAAGTGCAGTCTGGAATAAACGATCCCACAGATAATTTAAATCCCTGTGTCTAGTGTTGTCACTAATATTCACACCGGGCCAAAAAAAAAACAAAAAAAAAAAAAAAAAAAAAAAAAAAAAAAA